TACGGTCAAATTAAAGTTTACACCTGGAACTGTGCTGACTCGAAAATTAGCCGGAAAACAGTGGCTAAAATTTTATGTATACATCGTCCATATGGGAAATTGTGTACCAAAAATGAGTTCCGATTTGCACTTGCGCCACGATTTAGGGCACTTCAAAGATATTTGTGGCGAAGTGGATATTTCGCTTACCGATAATGTGTGAAGCTGGAACTTCGCTGCGATATTCTACTTTCAAGTGCGCTCTTAACTCTGCCTGGAAGTGAAATTTCCTGCAGGTGGGTATGAAAAATACTCAGCTTTACCACAGAGTAAGAAACGAGTGTATTTTGCAGCAGACGACCACCCACATTCTCTCCCACCATCCAGTTCATTTACATGTTCGGATTTTTTGGCGAACGAGCGCTCTGGCAACATCTGAACAGAAATTTTTGCATTTTCAAAAATCTGCGTTTTACACTTTTTCAAAAAGCGAGTATTTACCACAAAAACGACCAGGCTTCATGCAAAAAACTGATAATCATGTGCCTGGGAGTCCATGCAGCCCTATAACACAACATTTTCATCCCAACCGACGCCTTTGCTCCTGGATGCCGAAAGAGGCCAAAGCGTGGCCAAAAATATGAGCCCAATTGTTAGGCTAAAACGCAAGGATCATTCATGCTACTAGCGATCTACGAGTTTAGTGCAAGAACGGAAGAACTTAGCAGCGAATCTCAGCAGCTTTGCATTTCATGCAATGATATAAATTTGTGCCGTATCCGCTGCGCTGATGATGTTTAGTTTTGATGCTAGAATAAAGATTAGTCTAAGAATTTGCAGTGCTTAGGACATCCTCATTCCTTACCCTAGCCTTTGTGTACATGTAAGAGCATACATATAGACTTTCATAAATAATTCTTATCTCTTTCCGTTCATATATTATATTTCTGTTTACAAGCCTTTTTTGCTTTATACACTTCCTTTATCTACTGACAGCAACTTACAGTTTCTGAATCTGCCTTTTTTTTTAAAGTAACTGTTGGATACAAAAGGATCCCAGAAGTATTTCCTTTTGTGCACTTAGGATATAAAATCCAAAGAAAAGAACCGAGAAATGCTCAAATTCAAGGAGCCTCATCAGTGAAAATAAACTCTACAAGCCGGTCGTGAAGTAAATCAGAAAGCAGTATGATAAGACTCTAAATTAGATATCGGTATCTGGAAAAAGATGGTGAGAAAAAGAGGAAGAGGTGACCGATTAAAATGACCTTTTAGTGAGAAGACACCGCTATCAAAAGCTTATCTTATCCTTTCGCTACAACAAATCGCTTTTCTTTGGGAAACCTCATCTTTGGCCAAGCTCATCACGACGTTCTGGGAGATGAGAAAGCATAAGACGAAAAACAAAACTGCCTGAAAATAATTGGCCAACCCACGGGCTGCCCGTGCGAAGATGCTTTTTTTGCACAGTTCCTCGCAGCTTTTGTCGCTAACGGCACCGGCTTTTTCGGCAAATGCTTCTAGCTAAACAAATTAAGACTGACCGCCGGAACTGTCAGAAAACACCCCCCTAAAATTCCAGCCTTCTAGCTTTCCTGGCTCCTGAGTTAGCAACTTACTGGAAAAAAGCTTTCACGAGCCCGTGCGTGTTTACCATGCATACTCGAGAGTTGGGTTTGAGCTGAATGAAACTTTGGTGGGCGGGGAATATCCCCTTAAAATTACAGTCCTTTAGGTTTTCAGGCACTCTAGTTATCAACTTACCCAAAAAAAATTTTGGCGGGGCCGTCGCGGGTACCACTTTTACCCGGGGCTGGGTTTAACCTCATTATTACCTATTTGGACGGGAAACATCCCCCTAAGATTTCAGCTTTCTATCTTCTTAGATCCCCGATTATGAACTTACC